AAGGCTTTGGGCCGTCCTCCACTGCTTTCCCAGGCCACAAGCAGGGAGTTACATGGGAAGTGGAGCAGCAGGGACATGAACTGGCACGCATATGGGACCCTGGTGGATGCAAGGCGAGGATTTAGCCAGTAGGCCACTTTGCTCTGTAAGGTTTGTGCCAAAGCATCTACTCTTTGAGTTCACCACAAAAAGACTGAATAATTCTCAAGAGCACCTGGTAACTGTGGGTGTGCAAGTTATTTGCTAATGTTGTAAAGAAACACATGAGATGGAGAGATGGAGAAAGAGAGAGAGAGAGAATCCTTTTCCCTTCCACACTTGCTGGGAGGTCTTAGCTCATGGCTGCCCCAGGGAGGATGACCACAGTAAGCACACGGATAACACTGTTAGTATCATCAAAGTATTTGCCTGTTTGCATGACCTGTTCCATATTCATTTAAAAGTCTGATACCGACCAGATGTCCCACAATGATGATAAATTTAATTTACTTCCAATTTCTCAAACTCTTCTACAGATTCAGGCAGCACAGTCCCAGTCATTAGCTCACGGAGCCAGGCTGCATCACTGAAGCAATGGAATTGATCAAGCAGATAGATTGCAGGCCATGGTTAAGAGGCTCCTAAGAAGGGGATGGCAGAAATCCAGGCTTCAAATAGATGATGAAATGGCCATTTCCATTAAGGGAGCTTCACATCACAGATATTAATTAGGAGGCACCATAATAAAGTTAAGTGGATGTGGGAGAAAATGCTGAGTTAAAAGTCACCCCAAATGTCCTCAGCCTGAGGTAATTCCAGATCTGAAAGTGAGTCAAGGATCTGCAATTTTCTACTTGCTTCACAACAGCCACGGCTGCAGCCACAGGTGCGTCAGACAACAGGCGCAGCGCTGCAATGGTCCTTGTTCAAAATGGGGATAAACTAAAAGGTATTGGTTTTCTTTTACTATCACCAGCGGAAATAGCATCTTTTACTTAGAGTAACATGAATCGCAGTTGACGTGAGACTTACTTCTTTCCTAGTATAAAAAAAATAAGGCAAACTTTGTGTTTCAATGATTCTTAACAAGCTTTTTTTTTAATTTTCACACTTATAAATTCCTGTTAAAAACTGATGAGAAATTTGTCTTAAGTCTCTAGGTCCAACACAGCAGAAGTGCTCAAAATCAAAGATCCTTTAAAATATGATTTGCTATATCTACTTGGGTAAGGGTTTAACCACATCCCAGGCCATCACACCAACATAAAACAGGATGAGACCAATGTCCAAACTATTTAGTTACTGGAATTCCTTGCATGTTCACTTTCCCCAGTACCTCCCAAGTGACTCCTTCCTGGTGCATACGTGACAACAAACATAGACAGATGGCCAAGATGTGAGCTGACGCAGTGTGAAGAAGGGGTTTATTTTCCCATTTTGATCACAATCTTGGAATTCCAGGTGAAATATTTCCCATCATGGTTCAAGCATGTGGCGGGGGCCCAACTGCCGAGAAACTCCTTCGCACCACCAGGTTTTATTTTTTGCCTGACTTCACAGAAACGGCAGTATTAGAGGGAGAAGGATTATCACAGCACGTATAAAGGATGAGACGGGCTCATCGAGTGTACTTTTATCAATGGTGCTTACAAAAAATGAGGATACCTGCAACATGAGTGGAGTTAAAAAAAGCCTTGGAAACTCCTCCTCCTGGAGGAGTGACTTGTCTGCAGTAATCTAGGGAGTGTCTGTTCAAGGAAAAGCAGCTGAATCTTGGTAAGAAATACCAAGATTTATCTACTGTGGTGTTTTAATCTGCCCTAATTCTAGGCAGTCTAAAAAGAACTCCAGCTGTCGGTTCCCTGGTGAGAGCCAGCAGCCGGCCTGCTGCGTACCACGGGGCACACAGACGTTCTGCTCTCAGAGAACACTCGCTCTCTGTCATCTGGCAGTCCCAGGGAAGACCTCACAGAGAGCTGTCTTTTTCTGGTCAGACTTGTAGCATGTCCAGTGTCTGAAAAACCTAATCCCCAAGGGTGCTCGATGACAACAATTAATCAAATGATTAGAGAGAGAGAATGTTTCATCTTTTGGTTCATTTCCCAGGTGGCCATAACGGCCAGGGCTGCATCAGGGCAAACCCAGAAGCCAGGATTTTCTTGCAGATCACTCACATGGGTGGCAGGAACCAAACACCTGGGCCATCTTCTGCTGCTTTTCCAGGATGTTACCAGGGATCTGGATTGGAACTAGAGCAGTGAGCATACCAACTGGTGCCTATATGTGATGCTGGCATCACTGGCAGCTACTTTATCTACTATACTACAATGTGGACCCAACAGGCAATTTTTATCACTGAGGGTACGTACCCAAGGTGGTAGACAAGAGGCTGGGGAGAACAGCCGGGCCAATTGAAATACTTCAAAGGAAAAGCTGAGGGATGAGGTGTGCCTAAGGAGTTTTGCAAAATTCTAACTATTCCCGGGAATCTAGGAGGCCACATAAATGCCCAGATGTGCAAAACGCACATGAAAAACATCCTCAACTGCCTTGGCTGCCTGACCCGGGAGCTCTGTGAGGTAGGAATTAAGAGCCAAGGTAGTGGAAGGTGAACGCCAACTGGCAGAGAGAGCTCTTCAGCCAAGACTGAACACTTACTGCTTTCAGACCCTTAAGGATAGCTGTACAATCATCCTAAGCCTAGGACCTGAGCGGAGACCATCGTGACCATATGAGAAAGAATGTAGACTTTCAACAATTACTTTCGCAATGTCATTAAACAACAAACAGCAGCGACTTCTGCCACCAGGAAAACCCAACTTCTGGAGTTGCCACAGAGTATTGTTAAAAATACCTAGTTCTCAACAACAACAACAACAAATGATATGGAAAGAATGAGAAATTACAGCTCAGACTCAGAAAAAAACCACTCAATGGTGACTGTCCCTGTGAAGCCCAGATATTGGGTTCCTTAGACAAAGACTTTGTATCAGCTACTTTAAATATGTCTAAAAGCAAGAGAATGACACTTTTCAAATAGAGTCTCAACAGACACAGACCCAGACAGACACTCTGGAGGTGAAGAATGCAGTAACTGAAATGTAAAATTCACTGGAGGGATTCAAAGGAGATGAGAATAAAGAATCGGTGTCCTTGGAGCTAGGTCAACTGAGACACCAATAGCTTCGGGGACAGGGGGAGGGGGGCCATCAAGTATAACAAGGAGAGCAAAGAGGGGGGGTAGGAAAAAAAACCTCAAGAAAGAATGGCTCCAACCAAACTGCATGATACACATTAGTCTAAAAATCCCAGAAGCCCAATGAATTCCAAATAAGATAAAACCAAAGGCATCCACATCTGGATATATCGCAATCACTCTGCTGGAAAGACACAGTGAGAAACTAACATAAAAAGCAAAACTCAGATTTTCTCTGTTGCCTACAAATGTAACTGAGCTAAAGGTCGTGGCTTCAAGTTCAGATTTTGGAGTCTTCTGTTATATACATCTCTGAATGTAACCTAATTAAACTCTTGTTTTATGCAACTCATAATTTTGGGGAATTAAATGACAAGCTAATTTCTTTACCTCAGGTCAGTGGTTCGTCTTTAGTGTCCAAGGCAGCAATAGGTTTCAAGTTGAAATAAGAAATCCATGTTTGCTGTGGCAGAGCGGGTTAAGTCACTGCCTGTAGGGTTGGCACCGTATATGGGTCCTGGCTGCCCCACTTCCAACTCCCTGCTAACATAGCTGGGAAAGCAGTGGAGGATGGCATGAGTGTTGGGGCTCCTACATACATGGGGGAGACCTGAAAGAAATCTGGCCCCTGGATTTGGCTTGGTCCAGCCCTGGCCATTGGGGCCATTGGGGCCATTGGGGAAGGAACTAGAAGATACAACACCTCACTCAATTAGTCTCTCTTTCTACACCCCTCCCCCACACTTCCCTACCCCGCCAACTCCCTCTGTAATTCTGCCTTTCAAATAAGTGAAATACTTAAAAGTACCAGCGGCTAATGACATATTATATGGGAATGGTTTTTAGGTACTCAAATAAGGTGCTCATCTTACATGTAGTGGCTGATTAAGAGTTTCTTAAGAGCTACAAAGTGAACTGTTTTGTAGTTCATTCACAACCATTACCACCACCAAAAATCAAAAAAAGCCCCTATGACACAATGTTTTAGACTAAAGAAACTCATTTTAGTTTCTTTAAAGCAATATTTTAAAATTTCTTTCACAGATCTTTTTCCATTGTTAATGTAAAGAAATCTAGGTGAGGCACTAATAAAATGACACTTATTTGAGAATTAGAAGTTAGGGTAAACATAAGGTCACGCCTTTATTCCTCCCCCAGTAAAGGGCACTGTTGGACTGGTGGGCCTAAAGCTGTACCGATGCTTTCCATAGGTACATAATGTCTTCACACACAACTAAAACAAACTACTTCTAAAAAAATAGTTCAAAAAATTTTAATTTGAGAGGTGGAGGACAGGGAGCAACTACAGAAGAGAGTAAGCGGGGGGAGAAGGAAGGAGGGAGAGAAATGGGGGGGGGGAAGCCAGAGAGAGGGAGAAAGCAAGAGAGAGAGAGAGCACGCAGTGTGACTCATTCCCCAATTGCCTGCAATGGCTGCAGCCACAGTGGGAGCTGGGGACTCAGCCCAGGGCTCCCACTGGATCAGTCACCTACAGCCTCTGGCAGGGTGCATGTCAGTAAGAAGCTGCAATCAGAAGCAGAGTCAGAACTCGAAGCCAGGCACCCTGAGACATGGGATGTGGGTGTCCCATCAGTGGCTTAACCACACACAAAAAGGAAAAGGTGCACCTAAAACATCTTGCTCAGGATCAGGAAAGTGAAGACCGTGAAATTCTAAAAAAGCAAGCATAAGTTAATGAATAAAAATAAGGGGACTCATCCCAAGGAAGGGGCAAAGCTAGATGTTGACCCAGTGGTCTCTAGTCTGCATGACAGTATTCAACATGGGGAAAGCAGCCCCACTGACCAGACTTCCCAAAACTAACCTGTGATAATAAGACATTCATTGTGATCCAGCACCTCAGTGAAGAGCCGTGAAACAATCAACTCAGGATTGATTAAAAAGCGGATTTCTTCTTGCACAAGTCCTGCACTGGTTACACCACCTCCAACAAAACGATTTGCAAAATCCACCTATGTGGGAAAATGTGGCATGTTAAGTGATGGTCTAAAATACCTGCATACACGACAAAGAAGCACATGCCCACTAAACTCTGATCTTCTTTTTCTTGCTATGAAAATCAAGCCCCAAATTAGCCATCTTCCCAAGGGGAGCAGATGACTGCTGCTTGTAATCAGGCCATCGCAGTCCACACAACATCTCCGTCTATTTCTAAGGATACTAGCCACAGAAGGAATTCACAGAATGGAGCTGTTGGGCCATATCTGTATCATTTAGACTCACATGTGTGCAAACCTGGTGCCCCAAGGGCCACAAATCCAAGAGAGAGCTTTGTTGTCAAGTCTTCAAAGTCATTTCCTCACACTGATCAATTTTTTCTTTACATATGTACATGACTTCACTACAGTTACGCCTTTCTTCCACAATACAGCAAACACTGAACACCAAAAAGATTAGTAACTGACTACTCTCGAATAATCTTTCCTTTGTGAATGACTGAAGGGATGGGACTTTTGTCCTAAATTATACTCAGATCCCATACTCCAAACCACCTGAACATTGAAAATATATATATATATGTATATAAGTCAAAAAAAGGGCGGGGAAAGAAGCTCCAGTATGACGATACAACTAAACTAATATTTCTAATTTAGTCTGAAATGCTACGTTAAGTTTTATGTAGAGTACTACAATGGAATCTCCCAGCTTCTACTGAGCTGCATGATCCTCAAGAGAAAGCAGACCCCATCTGGCAGCGTTACTTCAGTCTATCCTTACTAAGCAGGCCAGTCATGCCAACTGTGCTAAGCCCTATGGGTCACTATGTGAGAAACAACGCCTATCCTTAGGTAACTCTGAGATATGAAATTACACACACACACACACAAAACAGAACCTATCAAGCATTATAAAAGAGGCTGACACATTTTCAAATTTCTGTAGAAAGTAAGATTTCTTAAAACTTGTTTGTGTCCTCTAGAGCAACTTACATTAAATGATAATGTGGAGCCTATTTTGCAAAAAAAAAAAAAAAAAGAATAGAATGTAAGTTTTGACGTGTAAAAATACGTGTGAAAAGACAGAAATTAACAGAAGGCAAAGCAGTCTTCTCACAGGTAGCAGAGTTCAGGAAATGCTGAAACACACAACCGACAAGTTCCTTCAGACACTCGCGTGTTTCGTTTTCTAGTCTTGAAGCGCTAAAACTAATGGTCAAACCAGAGCCACTATGTAGAAAAATAACCGTGGTGACACAAATTTGTAGATACTTTCCTACTATGTGGGAGGTCATTAGACACTGCTAGACTGAACAAATATTGACTGAGTGGTATGCTAGGGACACATACAATTCCAAGATGAACAAACAAGATTTGGGTGACTCCTGGCCCCATAGCATTTGTAATGATAGATGCATAAGCACAACAAGAACCGATTAGCATGTATTTGCATTTCTTACAGAGTACAATGAAGCAGAACTGGACCACAGAAGGAGCATGAGGAGTTTCATGAGAAGACAAGGCACTATGTAACCCCACAGTCAGTACATTAAATATCCGTACCATTGCTTATCCTTTGTCTAACAGATCAAAAACATTTAGACCTGAAAGGTGTGCTAAACACTAAACACAGGGTCTCTAAAAGCAAGAGGTCTTTTAGAAAAATCAAAATTTCTACTACATAAAAAAAAGTTCTTATAAAGGTGAGAAATCTTTCTGCCTACGGAAAAAAGGATGAGTGATTCTTTATTTTTAGCCTCTCATTATCTGAGTCTCATTCTTTAAAGGTACTTGTTTGGATTACTCAGTGTCTGAATTTTATCCTGATGCAAAGAGAGAGATGTTAACACTCCGCAGAGAGATTCTGTTGTTGTTGCCATTTGGCATAATACAATTTACATACTACACAAGGAGCTCTGTAGCAGTGCAACACAATATTCCCCCATCTCCTGGGGAGATGTGGCATGGGCAGGGAGAACAATTAATAGTGCTACAGGCCTTTCTAGCACTCTTTTAATCTACCGAAGTCTCACATTTCATAATATATTCTAGGCAAGTTGGGAGAACCTCGACCTTGACTACAGTTAGATAATTCTCTGTCAAGGCATACGGAAACAAAAGGTCAGCCTGCCTACTGTGCTAACCAGTTTTGTTTAGTTCCTGTGTATTATGTGTATTAAGATGCCTTCAGCTTAGCCAAGACTTTAATGTGGGCAAAAAACTTCACCGAAAAGGAAATGTGTATATGTGTATGTGGGCAGGGGGGCAGGCGGGGGGAATGTGACATCGATTTGAAACAGTTTGAAGCAGACTTAATTTGCCTAAATAGAAGAAAAAGTATAGAATTAAACACAAAGTAAACAGGACAAATGTTAATTCAATTATTCTAAGTATTTGTGTTTATGAACTCTAGCAGTAATTGGAAAAAATTGATTTAAGATAAAACAGCTTGTCTCTGAATATCTTAATTACAAATATGTTCAAAATAATGTCATTCTAAAAAGAATGTGTTTTATTACTTAGGACACACATATACAATAATTAGCCACACACAAATCAATCCAGTGACATAATAGTGTTATTCACACAAATTGGTCCATGTTTAGGCACCTGCTTCCTTTACCTTCTGCCATAATACAGTGTTAAAGATCTAAGGGGAGAAATTTGCTATTCCAAGTATACACCGATATGATGTGCAGTTTCTTTCAAAGAAAACTAAATTTAAAATGCTCTCATAGGGCCCGGCGTGGTGGCGCAAGTGGTTAAGTCCTCGCCTTGAACGCCCGGGATACCATATGGGCGCCGGTTCTAGTCCCGGCAGCCCCGCTTCCCTTCCAGCTCCCTGCCTGTGGCCCGGGAAAGCAGTCGAGGACGGCCCAAAGCCTTGGACCTTGCACTCGCGTGGAAGAGGCTCCTGGCTTCGGACCGGCATAGCATCGGCCGTTGCGCTCACTTGGGGAGTGAATCATCGGACGGAAGATCTTCCTCTCTGTCTCTCCTCTCTGTATATCCGCCTTTCCAATGAAAAATAATAAAAATAAATCTTTGAAAATGCTCTCATAAATGGGATAAAAACACAAAATAGCAACATTTTGTCCTTGATTAGTGAATCTTTAAAGTCACTAAAAAGCAAAAGGAAAACATGGGCTCAGATGAGGTGCAAAGGGTATCTTTAACTCACTTTCCAGAGCCCCTTTCTAAGCATGAACCTAGTTAACAGATTAGTAAGCGAGACCCAGGACGAACAGGCTCACCTGTTTTTCAAGAGACTGACATTAGTAACCACCGCTAGCTTCTGTGCCCACAACTGCCACAAATGGCAAAGAGGCCGTTAGGGTCAATCTGTCTGAGACATCTGCTTCCTAAATTCAAACAAGGCTGCCGGTGGCAAAGGGACCGGCAGAAGTTCAGCGTCTCAAGCTGGTCCTAGTTTGGGCTAAGCAAAATCCTCGACAGACAGGAACGAAACTGTCTGGTGACAGCCTATCAAGACCATACCCTGGTAATGTCTTCCACTGTCAACGTGCGATCATTGTCTGAACTGAGAGGACCGAGGGGGCCCGGATGTGATGACTTCCTGTCAAAGGCTTTTGAAAGAGGCGCACAGAACACAGAGGAGGCTGCCAAGTAACGACATTGCCCAGCCTGTCAAAGTGACCTGTTTGGTGTTCCTCTCCATTCTGCACCATGCTTCTTTGCATTCAATCAGTTTCAGGAGACAAACAAGCAGCTTCTCAACTTCCCTTTGCTGTCAGGAGCCTGACAAGCAAGTCCCGTGCAGCGGCCCGCCTACCTGCAGCATGCCCTGCCCGTTCCCTTCGATCGTGCCCTCGTGAGTGACATGCAGTCGTGTCAGGGGTTTCTCGCATCTATGACGCAAACACATGGACACACTTTTTAATGATGGGCAATTCACTTTGGAAAAATCTGAAAATATAGATCAGTAAGTAAAACAAAGCTGAAGTCACCCTAAAATATAAAAAAAAATTAAGATCTGGGCCCGGCGTGGTGGCGCAGTGGTTAAGGTTCTCGCCTTGCACACCTGGGATCCCATATGGGCACTGGTTCTAGTCCCGGCGGCCCCGCTTCCCTTCCAGCTCCCTGCCTGTGGCCTGGGAAAGCAGTCGAGGATGGCCCAAAGCTTTGGGACCCTGCACCTGCGTGGGAGACCCGGAAGAGGCTCCTGGCTTCGGATCGACATAGCATCGGCCGTTGCGCTCACTTGGGGAGTGAGTCATTGGACGGAAGATCTTCCTCTCTGTCTCTCCTCTCTGTATATCTGGCCTTTCCAATAAAAATAAAATAAATCTTAAAAGAAAAAATTAAGATCTGTTAGTTTTATTCTTGTGCCAGAGTTGGTAACCCAACAAAATAAATACAGACAGCAAGAAATCAGGATTCTCAGATGGGCTCTTTGCTTGAAAGTTAGAATTACAGAGAGATCGATCTTCCACTCCCCAGAAGGCTGCAACAGCCACAGCTAGGTCAGGTTGATGCTGGGAGCCAGGAGCTTCATCTGGGCCTCCCAGGTGGATTGCAGAGACCCAAACACTTGGGCCATCTTCTGCTGCTTCTCCAGGCCATTAGCAGGAGGCTAGACTGGAAGTGGAGCGCCTGGGAGACAAACCCATATGTGCCCATATGTGATGCTAGCCTTGTAGGTTTTTTTACCCACTATGCTAAAGGCTGGCCTCATAGATGGACTTCTATTTCCATTGGTTTGGTAACTGTGTGTGTGTGTGTGTGTGATCATCTTGATGAAAACACATGTCACAGAATTCTGCTCCATGCACTATTTATATTAATAATGATGAACCTAGTAACTGTAAGTCAATCAAAAGACAGAATTTTTTTCTTTCCTAAACAATGCTCATTGAGGGGCCCGGTGGCGTGGCCTAGTGGCTAAAGTCCTCGCCTTGAACGCCCCAGGATCCCATATGGGCACTGGTTCCAATTTTGGCAGCCTTGCTGCCCATCCAGCTCTCTGCTTGTGGCCTGGGAAAGCAGTCGAGGACAGCCCAAAGCCTTGGGACCCTGCATCCGTGTGGGAGACCGGGAAGAAGTTCCTGGATCCTGGCTTTGGAGCGGCACAGCACTGGCTGTTGCACTCACTTGGGGAGTGAATCATCAGAAGGAAGATCTTTCTCTCTCTCTCTCCGCCTCTATGTATTTCTGCCTTTCCAATAAAAATAAAATAAATCTTTTAAACCAAATTACAGCAAAATATAAGTGATTTAAACTTGCAACTGTTAAAGAATGCTAACAATTTGAGTCGGAAAGATTATTTTTTAAAAGTAATTTAAGGGGCTGGCAATGAGGCCCAAGGCATAGCCTGTCAAGCCACTGCCTTTGAGGACAGCACTCCACACAGGCACTCGTTCAAATTTCAGCTGCGCTATTTCTAATCCCGCTCCTCACCAACGTGCCTGGGGAAGCAGTGGGAGATAGTCCAAGTAGCTGAGCCTCTCTGTAGTATGTGGGAGACTTGGAAGAAGTTCCTAGCTCCTGGTTTTGGTCTGGCCCAGCCCCGGCTATTGGGGCCACTTGGGGAGTGAACCAGCAGATGGAAGACCTCTCTCTAAGTAACTTTGCTTTTCAAATAAATAAATACATTTTTTAAAAAAAGAATGATAAAAAGTAAGCTGGGGAAGCACTGGTTGTTTACTTCCTTGTTTCAAGGAGTCCAAACACATTTCTAGCGTTACTGCAGTCCGAAAGCTCAGGAACTTAGAAAATAATAATAAATTTTGTTCTGAGAGCTTTATTTGTATTAGTTTATTTAACCCTCAGAAGAGCCATATTGTTATCTCCTTTAATAGGAAGAAAAGCACAGAAGCATTCAAGTAACCTAACCAAGACCAGAAGACAAAGCAGTCACGATTTGAGCTCAGATGCGCTAATTCAACATTCTAAATTCTCAACCAGGATGCTGTAATTATTAGAAAAGTTATTTTCTAATAATTATTTTCCTATAGAAAGAGGGTCCATTTCTTGAGATCCTCCTTTCCTAACCATTTTATTCAGTGAAAAGATTAAAGAATTATGACACATAATTCTTTGGGCTACTTATAGTCAAGAAACCAAACCAGATATTCCATCTTTTGTCAACCATTCTCCAAGACTGAAGCTGGCATCATTATCAAGTTGTTAGAAACTGTTTCTTTTTTTTTTGGTGTGTTTTACACATGCAACTTCTTAGCAGGTCTTCCCTTCTGCTCCCAGCAAATCCCTGCCTGGGTATTTGCTGGCCAGGGTAATGGACTTGCTGGTACCCACAGAGCTAATGGCAAGATGCCAGAAACTCGGGAGTCGAGGAAAGCCTCCAACACCCTCATGCCCATGCAGCCTCTCACACCAACACTTTCATTTCTGTACCTGCCTTTAAGTACAGGCATGTTGGTTCTGCAGAGTCTGGGAGAGCAGATTTTAATGGATTCAAACTCAGAAAGCAGTCGAAACAAAAAAAGAGAACAATGAAATATGATAGAGAAGACATCAAGTTAAATGCTGCTTATCAAAGAGGACAATGTTAGCATTTCTTGGGGGTAGTTACTGGCACAGCAGCTTTGCTGATCTGTGCAAATAAGCTTGGCTCTTTCCTCCCACGTGGTGGTACACAGACAGGCCGCCTTTTACACAAGAGCCAAACTAGCATCAGATGTGGAGTAGAAATCCAGAGGCTGAGTTGAACTCAACTCCTCCAAATAATCTATACAATTAACAGAAGAGGGCAGATCTGGCCAGACGACCCTTAGGGCTGGGCATCCTATATGAAGAGAGACTAACAAATGAAAGTGTGTCAAGAGCAGCTTTAAAAGCCGGGAAACGGTTAACCCTCATAAGGACTTGTGCAGTTTTGGAAGGGACAGCAGGTCAAACAAGCATTTTTAAGATACAGGAAGGAAGGTCGAATGAGAAAGAAGACTGGAAACTGGAAGGACGGACCAGGAATGAGGAGGAGAAGGGATTCTTTAGAAGACAAGATATTTAAGCAAACGAAAGTGAGTCTTTCATCACTGAAGCTTCCCAGTCTCCCTCTGTCACAGGTACTATAACAATGATTGACATATGACTTCCTGGGGCCCCTTTCATCTCTAATGCGTCATGATTTCAAAACACTATACCTGTTCTCTTCCTTTTTAGACAATATCTCTTTATATTTCAGTTGAATATAAACCAAACCAAACCAAACCAAACCAAAAAACTCCTATTACTCTTTTCTTCTAGAAAGAAAAGCCATAAAATACAAATATTAATGGGAATAAGGAAGCACACTTAAATTTTAGGGTTCATTTAATACTAGTGTCTGAATAAATAAAATAATTCTAAATAGGACTTTGCTTAGATGAAAAATCTAAAGCAAAATGATGAAAGTCAGGGCTGAGGGCAGATTTAATTTTACAACTGCATTTTTCCTGAGAAGAAACTTGTTGGCATGGAGGCAATGAGACCTTGGAAACCATCGTTCCCAGATAGAGCCCTAAGTCCAAGGGTCTAGGAAGTCTTCTCATATCATTACCTTTCCCAGTCTGGAAAATCTTCAAGACTCTGTCTTGTGAAGGTTACCAACCCAGTAGGTTCTACAAAACAAAAGAAGAAAATCACACCCAAGTTTCAATTTTGAAGGGATTATGTACACATGTAGGGACACACGCACGCACACACACACACACAGTAAAAGAAGGAGTCTAACTTGTTGTAAAACTGTAAAGTCCATGTCCCCTGTTGAAATAGAGTTGTCCTTCAGTATCTACAGGCGGCTGGTCACAGGACAAGCCCCCCTCTACCAGGATCAAAATCTGAAATGTTCACATTTGTCACATAAAATGATGCACTGTTTGCATGTAAGACACTCTCAATCTTCCTGTATAGATTAAGTCAGCTCCAGATAACTTATACTCAATACAATGTAAATGCTATCTACGTACTTGTAGTACTGTATTCTTTAGAGAATTTTTCCCCCAAATATTTTTGATCTAAAATTGGTTCGGTCCACATATGCATTAACCCATGAACACAGAGGGCTGAATATTTGATAGACACTGGTTTTAACTGATACTAACATATTAAAAGTTCTTTTGCCCACAGTAAATAAAACTATACAAATAATAGTAGGATTTCAGTGTTGGTACTTTTTGATACAGTTTTTAAAACTGAAAATAATTCATTTAAAAAAAGCATTAATCAGATGTATAATTGATGTAACTTAAACGCAATAAAGACAAAATGGAATTCCAGCTTGTAAACTCCTTTTCAGAGAAAAGCTTTCCACATTTAAAGACTGGGAAACAGACATAAATAACACCTTAAGAAAAGCAAAACGCCTAAGATTTAAAAAGGGAATCGAAAGCATGTCTTTTGGAGTTAGAACAGCTAAGTCTCTGGCTTAGATAATAAATAATTGTTCTATTTATAAATAGCACCTTAGCTGAAGGAAGAAATAGGGATTCTTAGGACTTTAGAAAGATATCTTTTTGAAGAAGTAACAGAATTTAAAGGATTAAGATGAAATATTATCAATACAATAGTGTTACAGGGTCGGACATGTTCTTTGGTTAGACTTAGTTTTTATTTTTCTTTCTCTTTCTTTCTTTGTTTAGTGTCGGTGGCGAGAGCAACAAACAAGTCAGCTGGCCGGAAGTAATCTGCCCGATTCAAGTCAAAGAACAAACTCAAAGGGCCATACCATTTCTGCTTTCTTCAGTGGTGAGAGAGAAAGGCTCGTAGGCACAGAGAGAGCTGTCAGGGACTGTTAGTGATGGTGCCCTACAGCCCAGTGTCGGCTCAGCAATCACCTCACTCCTACAGACAACTCTGCATCTCATTTGCGCTCAATCATAAGTCAGTAACAACTCAAGGATCATGAGTTGTTGCTTTAGGAATGGAATATTTTGCCAATATGAGTGTGGAAATATTGTTAGATCTCCACCTTTAAGATGAATGGAAATCACATTCAAATTTCACAAGAAAGAACTCAAACATTTCAAACACCAGAGGTGCGACTCTTAACAGGAAGCCAGTTGTCTGTTGTCTGTCATCATTTTGCAACTTAGCAGACAAGAGCATCACATATCACTCATACATTAAAAAGATGGCGAGAGAAATTCATACCCATGGTGTGCAGTCAAGAAAAACACTGAGCAACACAGGTTTTTAGCTAGAATGATTAGCGATGCTTCAAGAGCCTGCCTGTTAGCTTCTTCCAGAAAAAGGCAACTTCCACCTCAGACAATTTTGGCAACCAAATACTTCCCTTGACAAAAGCATAATACATACCCCCACAGGGCCAATCATATTTCCTCCCTTTTAAAAGAGTGGGCCAATGTTTAAACATCTCATCTAAGAGACTTCATCTGATTTAATTCAGAGGGTTTTTCAAAGCCTGGCAGTCTCAGCAACCTCATTACAGCCACAAGCATGAAATGCGGATGTCCTGATGGAATTACATCCTACCAGTTCCACAGAGCAGGTCTGTCACATATTAAGCTTCTGAAACCGTACATCTTCTATACATGTAATGGAGTTGTCCTGCCCGGTCTAGTGTCAAGTCCAGTTTTCCCAGAGAAATGTGCACCTGCCTCTGCCGTCCACGTTCTGAGTTACCAGCCCTGCTGCAGGCCTCTGCAGGCCGCACGGTCTGGCTCCAGACTTCACACTTGGGGCTGGTGCCTCGAATTCTCAGCCACGTCCTCCCCACACTCAGTGTCAAGGGGGAGGCTGACAAGGCTCTTTACTGTCCTTGTCTTGCAAAGCCAGGTTAAGTTTTTTTCTTTACGCTTAGCCTCTGAGTACAGATTTCTGGGTCCTTTTGTGTATTTTATCTTTCTCGTAGGTGTGCCGTGTGCTGGCACTTCTAACTACCTCTGACGTCCCAGAATTGATGGAAGAGATTTAAATAGATTACTATAAATCTTTTTATTCCACCTTTCTATTTCCTCCTTAAGTCATTAGCTGTACATCCTGAAAAGCTAGAGCAATGCTTCACTATGCATCTACAAAGGACAAAGTTACCATGGACAGCAAAACAAGCCAGGCAATCAAGCATTTAACTATCATTTCTTCAATCTTTTAAAAAATGCTTATGACAGCTTTTATATGTCTAGTTGAAAGAAAACTTTTAGTATTTTTTCCTCAAAGTATCTGAAATCCTAAAACTTAGTGAACATCAAGTTAGCTTTCAGAGAAGACATACATAACTTGATTCCCAGGATTAAAAGAATAAACTCTGAATTATTTCATCATAACAAATCTCTTCAGGTGTAGACAGAAAAAACTATTCCTTTTGCTATCCTGAGTGGTGCTGTATTATTCTCCTTTATATCTCACTCAGTATACAGTGTCATAAGACTGAAATTGAAAAGGCTGAGATAAATAATCCTCTATCAAAGAAGTATATGCCCTTTCCCCCAAATACTAAAATACTGACAAATGATTTCATTCCACAATTTTCAACAATGTCCAACAACACAGAATATGAAGGACAATGTAATGCAAGATTGAAAGAAGGAAATTTGAAAAATGACCTTAAAATGATACCAAGGCATGTTTTAAGTGCAATCCCAAAAGCTGGATGAAATCAACTGGAAAGAACCCACCTCTTGTGACCTGACCTACCTAGGGTGGAAGGAGACCTCTGAAGTGCTCCCGTTTTCTTTATACTCAATTCTGGATAAAGACTAACCAATGCTACCAGCTGACATGCCTGTTTCTTATCTATAAATGCCCCGTGAGGTAACTGTCGTTGGCACTTTATCTAGCAGGTGAGAAAACTGAAGTTTACACGTAGGTATTAAGAGAGGCTAGACTGTGTGCACTGGTCCAATGGCCCGGTGGCTAAACCCTTGCCTTGCATGTGCCAGGATCCCATATGGGCACTGGCTCATCCCACCCAGCTCCCTGCTTATGGCCTGGGAAAGCAGTGGAAGACGGTCCAGAACCCTGGGACCCTGCACCTATGTGGGAGACCTGAAAGAAGCTCCAAGCTTTAGATGGGCTCAGCTCCAGCTATCATTGCCAGTTGGGGAGTGAACCAGCAGATGGAGGATCTTTCTCTTTGCCAATCTGCCTTTACAATTAACAATAAATAAATCTTAAAAAAAAAAAAAAAGAATAAGCAGCAGCTTGACCATGGCCATCCAGCTCCTAAGACAGCAATAGCTCCAGCCATCCATTTTCAGGTCATCACCAGCATGTCGGGTAATCATCAGTGCCGGCCCAGGGCAAGGGAGGCTACATTATGGAGAAACACGGCAGGTTAGCCCAAAGTAGTGTCAATAGCAGCACTGTACAGCTCTCTAAGAACTCTACAGAGGGCTTGGGGAAGGAGGAATAAATAGAAAAATCAGGAATTAGTTGACCTAAGCAAAAACATTTCAACTAGTTCTTCAAATAAAGAGCAGCTACAATGTATTCCTGGTTCACATTTTTTTTTTTTTAAATATTGGTTTTACTCATGGAAATGTCTGAATACATATATTATAGATTTCGGGCCCAGCGTGGTAGCCTAGTGGTTAAAATCCTTGCCTTGATACGGGCACTGGTTCTAATCCCGGCAGCCCTGCTTACGATTCAGCTTCCTGCTTGTGGCCTGGAAAAGCAGTCTAGGATGGCCCAAGGTTTTGGGACCCTGCACCCATGTGGGAGAACCGGAGGAAGCTCCTGGCTTTGGATTGGCTCAGCTCCAGCCATCACAGCCGCTTGGGGCCATTGCATGGAGGATCTTCCTCTCTGTCTCTCCTCCTCTCTGTATATCTGACTTTCCAATTAAATCCTAAGAACAAAAAAGATTGCAAAGGATGAGAGTCTAATGACCCCCCACATGCATTCACAACACATCAGCACTATTTCATTCAATGTAGACTTGCCACAAGTTGTACTTGAAACACCAAATGCCTTTCCCTTGATTTGAAATAGCCATGTCAGCATAAAAATCATAGCAAGAATGAAAGGAATTTACTTTTCTCTGTGACTCTTCTAAAGTAGCAGAAGAGTGTTTTAAGCTTCTCTGGCTTCCTTGGTGAGCGTCCTTCAAACAACCTGAAAGAGACCAAAACCACAAGAGGGTGGGGGACAATTCAAATGGCTTCAATGACTTACACAACACTAAGTCTAGATTGCTACCAAGTAATACAAAGGAGTAATTTTTCCAGAATTAAATTCTGTACAGATTACTGGGAAACTGTATTGGATTCAAATGGCCTCTGGGCAAGTACTGAAACCAACTCCACCAGGTTTCCTGGAGCCGGTCAGTCAGGGGGCACCCTCTCCATACCCACTCATGCATTGTGCTTCGGTACTCATCACCCTCCAGGGAGAAGGCAGCCACTCAGAGGCGACCCTCTCTACACACACCCACCCACCTACCCATTCACTGTGCTTCGGTACCCATCACCCTCCAGGGAGAAGGCAGCCACTCAGAGGCGACCCTCTCTACACACACCCACCCACCTACCCATTCACTGTGCTTCGGCACCCATCACCCTCCAGGGAGAAGGTAACGTTAGTACCCCCAAGTCCAGTAGGGTCAGTCAGTTCATGCACAGCCACGTTCCCAGTGGCAGATACTATCCATAATTTATAACATTACTAGGCAATTATGTAATCAACAAAACTGGAATCTCAGAAAAAAAAAAAATCCACGCTGTGTGTCTGTGGTAGAGTGAGGGTGGGGACAGTGCCCTAGGCAGCTCTGACAAGAGAGTGGGGCCAAGCAATCCTGGGAAATTGGGCAAATCCATTTGCCTTCTCAAAATTCCTATGCTGAATCCTCCATTTGGCTGAATTAGGAAGAGGACCTAGAAGAAAAAGAGGTCTTGGATAAGGTGGGGTCCTAACGGTACAAGATTAGTTAGCTTGTTTGTTTTTAAGATTTATTCCCTTGAAGGGGAGTTTCACAGAAAGAATGAGAATGAGATCTTCCACTCATGGCTTCACTCCTTGAATGGCCACAATGACCAGGCTAGGCTAGGAAACTTCACTCAGTTTCCCGGCACAGCAGCCAGGAGTCCAGGCACTTGGTACGTCTTTCAGTACTCTTTCAGGCACATGAGCAGAAAGCTGGATTAGAAGCAGACCAACCGGGCCTGGCGTGGTGGCGCAGTGGTTAAAGGTCCTCGCCTAGCACACCCGGGATCCCATATGGACGCCGGTTCTAATCCCGGCAGCCCTGCTTCCCTTCCAGCTCCCTGCCTGTGGCCCCGGAAAGCAGTCGAGGACAGCCCAAAGCTTTGGGACCCTGCACCTGTGTGGGAGACCCAGAAGAGGCTTCTGGCTTCGGATGCATAGCATCGGCCATTGTGCTCACTTGGGGAGCAAATCATTGGATAGAAGATCTTCCTCTCTGTCTCTCTCCTCTGTATATCCGCCTTTCCAATAAATCTTAAAAAAAAAAAAAAAAAAAAAGAAGCAGACCAACCAGGAAGAGGAAGAGACACCAGAGGTCCCTCTGTGCCTTGACAGGACACACTACTAAGACAGGAAGAGGATGCTCAGCTGGAACCAAATGGGCCAGCGTCATGACTGTGACTTCCAGCATGCAGAGCTATGAGGAAAACACATTTGTGTTGTTTAAGCCACCCACACTAACACAGATCCTTTGGGTGGTAAACAGTACAGCTCATGTCATCTAGTTTCCAGCAATGTAGACTTGCACTACTTACTTTGAAATGATGGTCTATTGTTATTGGGAACAAATAATTCAATTTATCCTAAGGGAAGAAAAAGCAGGGCTTTGGAAACCTGTGACCCGAGTAACACACTAAAACACTTCTAACACAAAAGCATGCTTTATTTAACAGTCATACAAAGATGCAGGGGCTACAAATGGAAGAGTATTCGTTCATCTGCCTCTAGTCATGTTTGCTGACTTTAAAACCAGAAACCCTCCAAGTCACGGTCTACTTTAATAAGTACCAAAATGGGTAACATTTTTCACCATTAGAAGAACAAGCCTTTGAAACTATGTAGGAAAGCTAATTCCATGCGAAGAGCCTATTGAGTCACGGAAATGAATTAGAAAAAAGAGAGGAAATGCGGATTTTCAAATGACTCTGTTTTCAATGATCTGAAATCTGTACTCAGAGTCAACTTCAGAAAAAAACATTTTATATGAATATTTATTTTCTAAAAAGACCAATAATGCTGGATATTATTTTAACCTAATCTAATCTTTAAAAAACAGTTGAAAAATAGATGCGTAAAATTTTTATTCAATTACAGAGAGTATGCTTCTAAAAATATTTAGGTTTTTTTCCCCCTAAAGATTTATTTTATTTATTTGAAAGACAGAGTAAGAGAGGGAGGGAGGGACGGAGGGAGGGAGAGAGAGAGAGAGAGAAAAAGAAAAGGAGAGACACAGAGATCTCTCATGGGTGGCTCACTCCCTGAGCTAGGCCAGGCCGAAGCAAGGAGCCAGGAGCTTCATTAAGGTTTCCCACGCGGGTGACAGGAGCCCAGGCATCTGGGTGATGCTCTGCTGCTTTCCCACGTACATTAACAGGGAGCTGGACTGAAAGAGCAGCAGCTGGGGCACAAAGCAGCGCCCGTATGGGATGCTGTCATCACAGGTGGCAGCTTTACCTGCTATGGATGCCGGCCCTTCTGAAATATCTAACAGATACTTAATACAAATAAAAATATACTTAACATATACATCGTTACAATCCAGGGCTCCACGAAGGTGCATGACTTGGCTTAGTTTTTTCTGCAATATGCCAACCAGAATGATCTGTTTAAATCCAATGGTAGTTGAGGTCAAAACCAATAAACATGATTTACTATGAATACCACGGGCTGTGTTACAAAACTCTCTTTCAGGTGCACTACTCAGTCAAGGGAAGCGGCAGCATGTACAAGCCAGCATTGCTTTCTTCTGGAGATAAACTGATATACCACACACTTCAACTGTACTAGTGTGGGGTGAGAGGAAACGGCTGCCGTTCTTACAGACTAAATCCCCACAGCAGAAAAGCAAAAAACCAAAGCGAAGCAAAACAAACAAACAAACAAAAAAACAGTAAAGAAACAGCATCACCAGCTTCCGACTGTGGTCAGCAGCTTGCACAGTTGCATAAAAGCTCACCTATTTCACAGCCCTGATGACAGGTGATTACTCTGGGAACCTCGTGCGCCTGCAGATTTATTACCCTGGCGCTCCTACAGACGTTCCTGGGAGAGTCAGGATCGCTCACTACCAATGAGCACCAACCAGGCTTTATGTTTTACGCCCCAAATCAAAGGAATGAAGCAGCATGTCCATGCTCCAAGCCTAACCCCACACCACTGTGTAACTAAATATACTTCATCTTCCTGTATGCCGACAGGAGGAGGGACACAGTCTAGGGAGATGAAGCAAATTAAAAACAAACAAAAAACCAAATCTTAGACATTTGTTAGACTTGGCTGTTGTGAAGTTTCAAATGATATGAACAGCCATCTGAATAGAATGGATTATCTTGGTATGGAAGAATGGAAATAGCAGAAACACAGATGCACAGCAAGGACTAGTCATCAGAAACAACCTGTGGGACAGAGTTTTGGAGTGCAGAAAGAAGATCAAGGGACTGCGGATGGACAGGAAGCAGAGGAAGAGAGGCTGGCAGAGGTCAGGATCCCAGGCGCGAGAGGACGCCACCACCTTTGCTATCCTTGGACTCTCAAAGTCCTAGGGCTAAGGGCCAGGCTCACCAAGGCCTCAAGGCTCCTCTGAGTGGTAATAAAGAAGGGGTGGGTGGGGGCGGGGCAAGGCTTCGGCTCAGTGGTCAAGCTGCTGCATGCCAGGCTGAGTTTCAGCTCTGCCTGGATTCCAGCTTCTGGCTAACGCACAGCCTGGGGGAGCACCGAGGGCTGCAGGATACCCGGCCTGTGCTCCCTGCCACAGCCTTGGACCAGCCCTGGGCTCCAGCTGTTGCGTGTGTGGGCTTTCCTGGTTAGCAAACACTGAACGGGTACTCTGTCTGCCTTTCAAATAAGTAACAAAAATAAATGACAATAAAAAGGAACAGGGTTCAAGACAGAGAGAGGGAATAAGAGACAAATATATGGGGATAGAGACTCAGCAGGGAGACTTCACAATAACCAAGCATTTTAAAAACTTTTCATTTTTAACACTTGTCAAATTTAGATTTTTCAGGTTCTGAGCAGGTATATTTAAAAATCTATTTCCAGGTAGCACGTGAATTCGTGCATAAATTAATTACAACCCCTTTACAGGTAAGGAAGATAATTTGGATTTACATGAACACACTTAAAATCAAACTGAAAATGCCAGTCAGGCAACCTTATTTTGCTCTAAACAAAACTGTTTGCATCTTCAAAGGAAAAAGTCAATCAAGGGTCAGATATCTATTAACTGATGCTTTTCTTCCCATAGTTATAAAGAGAAGCCTAGTTTAATAAAATCTTTCCGTGAATGGAATACTGATAACATTACTGGGACTGGATTCTACACACACACACAGATACATTCCCTCCCTCCCTCCCTTTCTCTCTGTCATGCAATTTCAAGTTAAGTATTCATCCCATTAGTATATAGTGAAGCAGGCCCCAAATGCTACAACCTCTAAACAGAAGCAAGGAATAATGCAGAACCCAGCCAGAAGTTGTTGCTGGCTCTTCCGCGAGGCACTCAGCCATATGGCCCCAGCAGCATTTTCAATCTAGGGAAGAGGCAGATGTAAAAGGCTCCTGGGCTGACCACTGCTGAGACCCACAATTTATCTCTGACCATCTAGTTTCCATGCAATCTCAGAAGCATCAATGCTAATCACATTGGAGCCTTTATATGGATGCTTAGGCCCTGAAAGGCAAGCAGGGGAAAAGGTCAGGGGTATTTAACATAACTAAACAGGTCTGGAAGAACAGAACAATAAATAAAAAAGGAAGACTTATTCAATTTATTGACGTCAGCCTCCCACCACATACTCTCAGCATTTTTCTTATTCAATCAACTAGCTCACCATACCTCATTTGAAATTAAGTACACTTACATACACAGCTCCCAACTGCCAGATATTATAATCATAAACAAAGCTACGCAA